AGGTATAATGGCTACCAATAGTGTAGCCAGGCTGGGTTCTAAGTTGAAGGGTAAACTCAATTCATGTGTATCAATATCAGGTGAGATAAGAGTATATGAGAAATATGACTTCCCTGCATCTGTCGAGTTATGGCAGCCCCTCATAGCCTACGAGTCCAAGAGAACATTATTAGATCACAGTATTGAACGTAGTGGATTTGAGCCACTAGACCCTAACTGGTATGATAACATCAAAACTGTTAATGACATTGATAAGGAGATTATAGCACCTTCTCATGGGTTTAAAGATTGCATACAGTATTATCATAATATGAGTGCTCTTAGTCCATTATCTAACAATAAGGGTAAGGATATTGCTATACCAACACTATGTGTACATGCCTATGATGATCCTATTATACATGTTGACTCCTCAGCCTTACTACCTATGGATACCTCTAGATATCTCTTTACGTTTGTAACCCCTAGTGGTGGTCATGTTGGATGGCCTCAAGGATGGCTACCATGGACTAATGGTTTTGCTTGGGTCTCTGATACTGCTCTATCCTTTATGAATATGGTCGCTTGTAACACAACTGCTGTTGATAAGCATGGATCAGCAGGGATCTAGGTAACAGCTCGGGAGGGGGGCATTCTATATCCACTCTTTTTACTACTAGCTATATCATCAGAATGTTTCCATAAGCTCCGACGAGTTGTTGTTGGGGTTTCTTGGAGATTTGTCTTAGCGATACTGTTATTATTATCTTCCAGTAGAACTTGTTCTTGTAATGACTACCACCACTGCAGCAGCAGCAGATTCAGTGAAAACTGCCCTCACATCATCATCAACCCTTATTACCACCACCACCACCTCAGAAGAGGAGGAGGAGGAGGAGCACCTGTCATCAGAGCAACTGTGGTATAATGTATGTGATCTCACTTCAGAGATGCCACCAGTAGTTGGTGATGGTGTATGTGAGAGGACCCCTCCTGTTAACAAGCTATATGTGTTAGATTCTATGATAAGATTAACCATTGAGGCAGGTAGGGAGTACTTCCCTTTTATGCTTATTCTAGCTGTTATATTCTATCGTGAAAGTGGCCATGGTATGCTGTTGTTATCAATACTTGCTGTGTGGGGTGCTTACCTCTTCTCGACCCGTGGTAAATACATACCTAATGGTAAGATTACACCTGGTATACGAGGAGGCGACCCTAAGGATACTACTGGCTTTGTTGGTCTTATTAACACAACTTTGAAGGAGAGGTATGATGCTAATCACCTTACACCATACGTTCTCAATGGTCATTGGGCAACAGCTTTGTTATGGCTTGTTGTGGATTACAAGAAGAAGCCTCAACTCAGACGTAGATGGTTTAAAACTGATGATACTACACCCAAGCATCCACAATCCATTGCTCTTGATTGGTGCCTTCCTGAGGGAGAGCCCAACCGAGAGGTTAAAGGTATTTACCTTGCTCTACATGGCCTTAATGGTGGCTCTGGTGAAGGATATGTAGTTGATTTGTATAATACTGCTGTCCCTCAAGGATATGCTGTGTGTACTATGATATCCCGTGGTCTTAGTGATACTCCCTGTAGTGGAGGCCCTGATGATGCTTTCTCTGGTGCTAGGGT